AAAACCTCATATTTTCTGCGGGCTTGTAGATCAGAACTTTCTGCGCCTTATCAAGACTTCTTGATATATAGTTAGTATGGTCTGGGACAGAATAGCCTTTCGTGTCACTGTATGGTCGATCTTCATTCCGTGTACGGAGTAAGGTGAACTCGTAATAGTTTCAAGCATATCAAAAACACTGATCTCCATAACTCTAATTAAAAGAATCGTACAATGTGCTCACTAGTGGTTAGCTTCGTGAGGAAATTTTCGGAGTTCTAGTGACAAGACATGATCAGTGGAGTTGGACCGTGTGATGTGTAGGCAGTAACCACCGAATACAAATAGGTGAGGTTACACAAAATCCTTAGATTGATTGCAGTCAGACATTACCACCGTTCGATAGTGGCCCAGTGATCCAGAAATTAAGCGTTCGTGTACAAGATCAAAGGGTTCGAATTCTGTAGGTAGCACAAGTCTTGGATGCGCACTGCTGATGAGTTTCATACCCTGGACGAAACGGCCGTCTAATACCTCCAAGTTTCTAATGTTGCTCTAACAATGACTGATTGATAATTTCAACGTGTATGAAAGATGTAATTGTTTAGAAAATAGAAGAATTTCAAGAGGGATAAGAATCGTAATCTAGTCAAGATTATCAAGATTATCGACTAATGCTAGACCATCATTAGAAACGTGGAAGCACTGAATAGCTGTTTGTGACTCATCAACAATGCACATCTACAACTACCGATACTCACAAGAATTGAGACCAGGACCTTAAATCTTGCACGCTAATGCCTTAGCCTCTGGACCACTGACCTGACATTCAACGGTATTCTTGTCTAGCTTCGATCAATTCATGGTTTTTGTGCAACTTCATCCATTGTCTTCGGTGAGCACTGCTTCCTCGTGAGTAAAGGCAGTCGTGACGTTGACCTGCTGATGAGTTCCCTTACCAGGACGAAATGGCCGTTCTTATTCTTACAGGTCGTTAATGGTAGTCTAACAGGGATCGATTCATATCTGACAAGAAAAGTTATTACCCAACAGAATCTTCATCAACCATGATGACAAAAAAATGAGGATTAGATTTTCAACGTTAAACTAAAGTTCTCAGTTTAGTTTTTCATAGTACTGCAGTTAAGGTTTTCATCACACTCTCACATTGGCTATAATGTAATACTTTGTTATAAACTCATAGCTGAGATTAGAGTGAATAGTTAGAAGGAGTTGATTTTATTTAACTTCAGTAAACACTCTTGACAATTCACACAATCTGGACCCATATATTGCCGATTTTCACTTCTTATCTATCTATCGCTGCACTTTGAATTTCCCTCAAAATACCTAAAGTGTTATCCTAGTTCTGATTGGTTCACTCAAGGTCGTCAATGTATATACTACTGCTACCCCAATAAACATCACTTTATCTATTCTGAAGGATGTAATTCTGTCCTCAATTCACCAATAATGATGTAGCCAAGCTGTGAAATATACTATTTCTGTGAAAGTTACTAATACTAACTTAGCTTCTCCTAAGTGATCTAAGATTCGAGTGACCATGTCATTCATGTCTACTAGCATCACTAGGTACTTACTTACTTGTATACGCCGGCCTAGATTTAGGACAAATTAGAATAACTCAGACAGCATGTGATTATTATAACAGGTTATTTGGCCTATCTATTTTGTTTTTAATCTTATCAGTTTATTTGTTTTCATAATTGCGATATGATGATGTTCAACATATCACCATCATTTATGGTATGTGCCTTGTAATATAGATGATATATCTGCTTGTCTTACTGTCACATGACACACATTAACTGTTTTGCGAATCATATATACTAACGCTTATAGTCAGAGGTATGGAGCAGTTGGCACATTCTAATTCCTGTGCTTTGGCTTCGTTTCCGTTTGTTATAATGCTGCTACGTATAGCTAGCTATTCAGTCTTAGCGGCGTCCAAATTCAAATATCCCAGTACGACCCAAAATGCTATTTCCAAATCTCCTAAATATATCAGAACGCAACACCGTTGGATGAAGTTGTTTATTGGGTCGAGTACAGAAGAGAGGTAGGCAGGAAGAAACGGAATCATGGAGTCTTACAGATAGTGCGTATTTATACATTAAGGTCGAATAGGAAACAGCATCAAAGTCTGTGACATTGACAGTTTAGGACGACGACCAATAGGAAAGAACATTTGAAATGACATTGACAGCCCGGATGACCAATTAGAGACAATATTGAAGTATTTTTACTTTGACAGTTAAAACGATCATAATTTTGACCAATAGAAATTGACCAATAGGATTATACTTCTAAAAATAGTACTCTTAGGATATTTGGTGAATATCCTAACATCCCACTGCTTATCCTAATGTCTGATTGCGTACAATACATTCATTCGAAAGAATCTTGTTGCGGGTGTTAGATCCCCAGAACTCACTTGTGAAAGGTCATAATTTTGTAATTCTATTCTAACATTTTGTATTGCCATGTTTTCACGCCGGTTGACCTTCAGCTTACATTTCCCACTCGAAAAACCGTCGATGCCATTGGTTGATGAATTATTTTAGTACGCTACTTTGTAGCTCTCACCAAGAGCGTCGCTATGATTGTACAAATAAGCTTGAGTTGAGTGCTTAGACACATTATATTTTCTGAAAGCTTGTAGAATACACGCCTTTCTACGCCTTATCAAGACTTCTTCATCTAGTTAGCAGGGCCTGGGAAAAATGGATTAGAATAGCCTATTATATCATGTCATTGTATCGTTCGTCGATCTTTGCTTTCTATTTACCGAGTAAGGCGAACTCGTAATAGCTAGCATTCAAGCATATCAAATCCAAATTTTCGTTCCTTATTACCGCCGGTCGCATCAACAAGGTTCACCGAAGTGTAATAGTTTGAATGAAATATTTATTTATTCGTCCCAACAATTAATGTCGAAATTCCATGGTCTGTATTACGGGGTTGTGAAGATTGTCAAGTTCCACATTTTTGAAACCATGAATCGATCAATGTTAGACCACCATTAGAAACCTGGAAGCACCGAAAGACGGCCGTTTCGTCCTGGTATGGAACTCATCAGCAGTGCGCATCCACGACTCCTGCACCCCTCAGGAATCGAACCCAGGACCTTCGGTATTGTAGACGACCGCTTAACCATCGGACTACTAAGCCGGGATCTAACAGTGTTAATGTCTACTAACTTGATCAATTCACAGAGTTGCGCAACCTCATACACAGTCTTCGGTAGTTAGTAGTTTCTATCTACACCCGAACAGGTTGAACTTCACTGGTCACGTCTTCCCACCACTAGAACTCGGAGAAAAATTCCTCACCAAGCTAGTCGTCGTCACTAGTGAGCACAGTGCTTCCAGGTTTCTTTTAATGCTGATCTAACATTGATCGATTCATGGTTTCAATAAAATTCCATGGTCATTTAAAATCATTCTGCCCTAGAACAACTTCCTTCCTTGACTAAAATAAAATAAAACTCTTATTCCAACATTCTTTACATATCAGCTGAAATGATATTTATTTATTCAATGTATTTCATAACTGCCTCTCCATTCTTTTGTTCAACTACATTTCTGTTTTTTTTGATATAATCCAGATTCTTTATGACCGGTTATTTAAGTATTGGTTTTGAATTAGCCGCTGAATTAACTTATCCAGAAAGTGAAGGTTTAACATCTGGTCTGTTGAATACTTCAGCACAAGTAAGCGCATTATTTTGTTTCACGTGATAAACACTGATTGGTTTTTTCCCTAAAATTTTAATGAAATTCCACATTATCATGTGATCACTACTACTAGCTCAGTGAGTCCGGTGGTTTCACCAAGTGTTAGTAAGAAGTTGTGACTAGTGAAGTTCGTCCTGTTACGCCTGCACGTAAACACGTCAACTTGATATACTTGAACTATTACGAGTTTACCCCTTAGTCGGAAAACGAGAGCGAGGATCCGGCGACACGACATCCCACTCAAATCCGATTATCCCAACGCACATATTTAGTGAAAATAAGAAGACTTGAATGTGGAGTAGAACATGTATTCTACAAGCATCCAGAAAGTACCAGATCCGAAGCCAGAAGAGAATCAGGATCCCGGACTAGGGATCCGGGACTGAGCACTGGTTCTGGTCGTGGTCATAAAATGTTACAGATAATGCGTATTTATACATTTTGGTCGAATAGGAAACAGCGTCGAATTCTGTGGCATTGACAGTTAAGACGACCAATAGAAAGTAACGTTTGAAGTGACATTGATAATCAGGACAACCAACAAGAAACAACATTGAAGTATTTGACTTTGACAGTTAAAACGACCATAATTTTGACCAATAGAAATCGACCAATAGGATTCGACCAATAATTCTCTTAGGATATTGGATGAATATCCTAACACATCGCTTGTCAGATACAAGGCAGTTAACTACCGAAAACAGTTAATGAGGTTGCATAAGACTGTGGGATTGATTACAATTAGACATGAACGCTGGTTGGATACCGGTTCAGTGTTCTACAAGCTAAGCGTTATTACTGTAAACAACGCCTGATCCAATAACACGATAAGCTACTCTGATCCGAGTGTCTCAAGGCCCCACAAAGTAGAGGAAGAAGTATTGATATGGCGTAGAATGTATATTCTACAAGCATTCAGAAAATAAGAGGTTGCTAAGCACACAAATCTAACTTATTTATACATGATAAAAACATCTTTGGGTGAGCCACTAAAATCACTCATTAACCAATGACAATCAAGGATTTTCCTGGTGGGAAATTTAATCTCAAGGTCAACTGATCAACCAATGCATGAAAGTAAAAAATCCAATATTAGGACCTTTACCGAGTGAGTTCTGGGTAACTAACGTCCCAGACAATAGAGTTTTGGAGACTGTTGAGTTAAACAACTATTGAAAACCTGAGAGCGCTGGACGGCTATTTCGCCGTAGTATAATAAACCTTCTCAACAGTGTGTGCATCCAAGCTCGCGCATGCTTGATACTGAAAGTGCTAGATTCGTTTCTCACAATCAAGTCCATGGATCCGCACTACTAAAGGGAGTCCTATGTCAGGACGAAACAACCATAGCTATCCAGTGCTTCCACGTTTCCATTGGTAGTCTAACGTTGGGTGATTCATGATCTCGATGATAGATATATTTTTTGAAACCGTGAATCGATCAATGTTAGACCATTATTAGAAACCTGGAAGTACTGGAAGGCCATTTCGTCCTGGTATGGGACTCAGCAGCAGTGCGCATCCACGACTCCTGCACCACACAGGATTCGAACCCAGGACCTTCGGTATTGTGCGCGAACGCCCTAATCGTTAGACCACTGAACCGGTATCTAACGGTGTTAATGTCTAACTTGATCGAATTCACGGAGTTGCGCAACCTCATACACAGTCTTCGGTAGACACTGCCTATATATATATATATATATATATATATATATATATATCACCCAAGTTTCAAGCTCTAATTTCATTCTCTTTTTTTTTCTGTACTCTAATTTTCTTTGAAACAAAAAACCCAATCGAAACATCAGATATTTGGCCTTATACTAATTCATGTTGCAACTCCACTACGAACACATTATGGAGTATTGCCGGCAAATTTATTCCTTACAGGTTTAACAGTAGTTGGCACAATATTGACAAGTAAGTGTGTGTGTGTGTGTGCGTGTGCGTCTGCATGTTTTTTCTAAAGCAATTGTCAATCATAACTAAATATAGAGGATGTATGTATATGTGCACACAGGCATAGGCTAGCATGGTCACATCATCATAATCATATTACACATGAACAGTGAACAGTGAATAGTGAAATAGTAAAAATAGAGGAGAAAACATGACTTCATTAGGGATGATTCAACAGTGTGAAGCAACAATAAAGTGCATAGGAGAAGATAACCATTTGAAGCAGCAGTCTCAGCAGTAGTATGCTTTCAGCATACAAACAAAGGGAAATAACAGTGGTGTTCTTCGATACCACAGGACATGCACCAACTAAATCACACTTGATAAAGAAGCTTTGGAGGATACAGAAAGTCTTATACACGATATGGTCAGTATTAGTGATGAGCAAGGTGAATCTGATGCAGATATGAAGGCATGGAAGGCATGGTGAAGCCAAGACGTCATTTCTACAAGTGAAGAACATCTGTTACTCAAAACAACAGTCAACCAACAACACCAGAGTCAGAATTAGGAGAACCACGAAAGATATCATCCAGCAGAAGATACAAGTGTGTTTATTAACAGTTATCTTCGCAAAATACCCTGGATCTGCTGGCCAGACAGCATCAGCAACAATCTGCTGTGGGAGAGAACAAACCAGATTGCAGCGGAGTAAGGAAATCAGGAAGAAGTGGTGGAAGTGGATAGGACACACATCACTGAAAGCACCCAACTGCGTCACAAGACAACGACTCACTTGGAACCCCCAAGGATAAAGGCAAAGAGGAAGACCAAGGCACTCATTACGCCGAGCATTGGATGGATACCGACATGAGAAGAATGAACAGCGATTAGATATGGAACTAGATAAGAAGGCCCAGGAAAGATTTGGTAGGAGAATTCTTTGTGGTCGGCGACTTATGCTTCACTAAGGATAACAGGCAGTAGTTAGTAAACTAAGTAATAAAATTTGAGAAAATGAATTTATCAATTAGTAGGTCAAATTAGGAGAAATAAACTTAAAATAAACATCACAAACACATGATTAGAATGACGTAATCAATAGAGTGCCAATAATTCGATAGTGAGAAATCTAAACAGACAAAGGCAAACGATGACAAATAAATACAGAATCTGTGTGGAATGGATATGCATATCACCTGAACTCGAATTAAAGATTTACAGTGTGTCGTTTTATTGCGTGTTCTAAAGCTCGGTAATTAGCTCGTTAATCTAGACAATCGTTACCAACTAGCGTCTGACGGTTGGTTTATAAATCAAAAGGTGAACACAAAGTGTTGAATACGTTTATTTGGGTGGGACACACCACAAAGCGAAGTGGAGAAGCAGTGAATAAAACGAAAGAAGCGACGTGAATTGGAGAAGGCTGTTGAGCCAACAACCCCTAGGATTACAATGCGAACGAATGGGCGAAGGAAGCGATGTGGAGAAGGCTAATGAGCCAACTCAAAGAAATAGAACATAACTAAGAATATATCAACAGACAAATATGAGACAGACATGTGACAAGCGAAATAGGCACACATGAATAAAAGCGACGAATAGTGTTGACAAGGTCAAATGACAAGTGGAACACATCATGTGAGTTCATACAAACCAGACAATAATAAGAACGAATGGTACATATAAATTGTTACAATACAAATGGTTTGGTTAAGTAAATTAATCGAAAAGGGCTTAACCAAGTTAGATGTAAGCGAACTCGAATATATGTGGAAGCACTACAGATTATGCTACATATGTAGAAGACAGGATCGAAACCCGTTCGGAAATGCTAGAGAGCCGTGCGTCAGATCACTCAAAATTAGTCGGTTCGATCAACTATGTGTGTCAGAATAGAGCTGCGTATCGCTTCACACGAGCAGTTGAATTTAAAAAATGCACTTGGAGAAAGCAAATTCAGGCAATTCATCCCTTGTTTGAGTAGACATTACTGATAGACCAGAAAACATCAATTCGAAATTGACTGCATAAGATTTCTAGCAAACTTACCTCCGTAATCAGTTACGCAAGACATCACTAGCCAGTCTTGTTACATTCATATTATGTAATCCAAAAAAATGTTAGATTCTGTCATTGAAATTTTCGTCAAAAAACGTTTAGCTTTCCGCTTTTTTATAAGGCATTAAAGTGTAGTTGAGATGTGTAGCTTGTATATTGAGGGAGTATTGATTTTGACCAATTTGGTCTCGTGTGCTGTTACAGGTATGAGGGCGGTTGTCACTTCCCTGCTGCCCACACCGTGGAAGGTTGTTTCTTGAGGGACCTGAAAAGGAAGATAGATTAGTGTTGGTCTTGGAGACCTGCGAGCGTGACCGCAAAGCGCAGCGGACAACTGCTTGAGGCCGGTCACGCACGGCCTTTTCATGGGAAGTTTTTTGAGTGCTAGCTCCGCTCTTGAAATCCCTTAGTGGGCACCCTTACCGATGGAGACGGAAATCCGTGAGGTAGGGTGAGCTGTGACATTTTTAGGGTCGACCTTTTCTAACCCTCCCATTATTGTGAGAAGGCAGCATCAGTGCAGATACTGCTTTTTGTCCGAGGGAAACACCTTACTGCTGTCACACCCCTCCACAGTCAGTCAGCAGTACGACTTCTTGAGTATCTGCTTTTAGTCTCATCGTTCTCCAACCGACCTGCCTGGCATGGTAGAACCTTCAGGAACATATGCTCCAGTCAATATATCGCTCGATTGGGTCATCACAATAGGCAAGCCCGACCACCAACACCACGTCAAGGTAGCAGCTACGGTCGGGATTGAGGGAGTATGGATTTAGTAGTAGTAGTAGTAGTAGCATGAGCGCTCAGACTACCTACCACCCATCAGGCACAACACATCAACAACACAATCAGTAATCATCATGTAAGTTTCAGATTTAGAGAATTTTTTCGTATCAAAAATAAACGCAACTAATCAATCATTTTTTAACATACCTGCTTGCTTCATCAATGCATATTCTGTTTATCAATTTGTACTTTTCTCTACTTCACTTTGCTTATAAATTTATTTTTTAAAAGTATTCACGAAAGAAAATCTTCGTCGTCAACAAGCACATGAACGTGTAAGTTTATTATTTTTAAGTGGAAAAAGAAAATAATAATAATAATATCGATTTGTTCCTTTTTTTATTTTCTATTATGATAATCTAAACAACATTGAACTTTGAAAATATTGTTTAACTGAAGTTTCTTTTATTTTTTAAATTTTATTTGTTTGTTTGTTGGTTGATTTAAACACCAGTTATAATTCGTTAGGATTATTAAATAAAAGTTTAATACGTTGATTTAAAACAAAACATACTTGTCTTCTTACGTCGTTGCACTTGCCTCAAATAGAGACGAGATGTTACTTTGTTCAATCATTGCTTGATCATAGTTTCGTCCTAGTATAGGACTCATCAGTGGCAGTACGTATCTATGACTCTTGCTACTCGCAGTATTACGGACCCAGAAGCTTTGGTCTTGAGCGCCAAGGCCTAACCTCTGAACAGATGGTTGAGGTCGCGCGAAACTCCGTAGATTGATCAAAGTTTGATATTAATACCGTTGGATGTTGGCTTAGTGGTTCAGAGGTTAAGCGTTCGCGCTCAAAGCCTAGGGTCCTGTGTTCGAATCCCGTGAGTAGAAGGAGTCGTGGATGCACGCTACTGAGACGTCCCTTACTAAGACAAAACAGCTATCCAATGCTTCCAGGTTCTTAATACTGGTCTAACAGTGATCGATTACCGATTACAATATAATATATCGTAGTGAAAAATCGATTAGAATTTATACACATTGTCATAGAATAGATGAGATTAAAAATCGTTAAGTCATGAATTGCACATCCACTTTGTCATATTTTTATCAATCAGTATGAAAGAAATTTTGATTTCAACTTCAACAATTGGTTGATAGTCTAACTGATTACATAATGAGACGTTTGCTATGCAATTTGTAAATTTTTTGTAAACGATATTTCCATAGCTCAAGTCGATTCCCTTGAAAAATCATAATAAAATATTCTTCATAATACTCCATCTAACTAAACTCTGTAAGAAAAAATTTCCATCTGTTAAGTTTAATGTGTATATTCCACTAGATTGCAAATAGACAGATGGCTAGCAGTGGTGTTTCGTCCCTATTTAGTACTCGTCAGCTAGTGGTTGTCTTCATGTATAGTTAGTTATATGTTTGTTAATTTTCCAAAAAAAAACGAGTTATGTAAATTAATTTCTAGTGACATAACTTATCTGTTTTTTTTCGAGGTTTCTTCATTCAACTTATCCACCATCTCAGGTATCAATATACCCCAGTAAAACTATTTGAACTGTTTCAATAATAAATGAGTCAGGATTCAATGTTCAACCATGAATCTAACTGTTCAACTATTATAGAATAATTGAACATTGGGTTTATTATTCATACATTAGTGTTTTCTCTTTTTTTTCCTAAACATCCTACTAATTGGTTGTATTCATTAGACCAAGAATAGGTTAGTAGAGATGTAGATCACTTGGTTGTTGGTGCTTGGGACTATGGCAACCAATGGTTAGCGACTTTGAATGATATGGTTCAAAGTTATCCGTGATGGAGCAGATTACTTACTTACTTAATTATTTACGCCTGTTACCCCCAATGGAGCATAGGCCGCCCACCAGTTTTCTCCATCCAACTCTGTCCTGGGCTTCCCTTTCTCATTCTTTCCAGTTTTTGTTCATTCTTCTCACATCTTTCTCTATTTCTCGGCGTAATGTGTTCCTTGGCCTTCCTCTTTTCCTTTTTGCCTTGAGGGTTCCATGTGAGGGCTTGTCTGGTTATGCAGTTAGGTGCTTTTCGTAGTGTGTGTCCTATCCACTTCCACCGCTTCTTCCTGATTTCCTTCTCCACGGGAATCTGGTTTGTTTTCTCCCACAGTACGTTGTTGCTGGCAGTGTCTGGCCAACGAATCCGAAGTATTTTGCGAAGGCAACTGTTGATGCATACTTGTATCTTGTGGATGATGGCTTTGGTAGTTCTTCAAGTTTCCGCTCCATACAGTAGAACTCTGTCTTGACATTTTTATTGAAAATCCAGATTTTGGTGTTGATTGATATTTGTTTGGACTTCAGTATATTTTTCAATTGTGGAAATGCATCCCTTGCTTTGCCGATCCGCGCCCTCACACCCAATGGAGCAGATGCATCCATCTTATTCTTCTCTTTATTGTTATCTATTACTGGCAATCATGTGACTACCTCCATTTCTTTGAAATTTGAATTCCCATTGTGAAAATTAGAACAACACGGATATAAGCGAACATTAATGTTGTTTTCATTGAGATCGTCATCAGGCTTTATACTCTAATATACATGAATATTTCTATGAAAATGTTCAACGAAATTAAGGCATTTCGCGTCACCAATCACTATGAACAACAAAATACGTAACTACACATAATAGGTAAAATTATAAGTTGTTTGTATGAAGACCGGTGTACTGATACGATAACGAAAGTTTCTGTCAATAGTTCAACATTGAAAGTAGCAAGTGAAACGTAAATAAATTGAGACTTAGGCGTTCGCGCATCATCGACAATCAAGGTGAATCCGATGCAGGTGCGACGGCACCGATCAGCAAAGTAAGAAAAGCATTTCTAGAGTTGAAAAATATACTGAAGTCCAAACAAATATCAATCAACACCAAAATCTGGATTTTCAGTAAAAATGTCAAGACAGAGTTCTACTGTATGGAGCGGAAACTTGGAGAACTACGAAAGGCATCATCCAGAAGATACAAGTGTTTATTAACAGTTGTCTACACAAAATACTTCGGATTCGTTGGCCAGACACCATCAGTAACAACGTACTGTGGGAGAGAATAAACCAGATTCCAGTGGAGAACGAAATGAGGAAAACGAGCTGGAAGTGGATAGGAGACACACTATGAAAAGCACCTGGCTGTGTCACGAGACAAGCCCCCACTTGGAACTCTCAAGGACAATGGAAAAGAGAAAGGCCAAGGAACACATTACGCCGAGAAATAGAGAAAGATATGGGAGGAATGAGCAAAAATTGGACAGAACTGGAAAGGGATGCGCAGGACAGGGTTGGTTGGAGAAAACTAGTTGTTGGCCTATGCTCGATTGAGGGTAACAGGCATAAGTAAGTAAGTAAGTAGCGTACGCGTGCAAGACTTTGAAGGTCCTAGGTTCGAATCCTGTGGGTAACAAGAGTCGCCGATGCGCACTGCTGATTGGTTCCATGCATACCAAGATGAAAAAGACATCCAGTGCTTCCAAGTTTTTAATGGTTGTCTAACAATGATTGACTCATGATTTCAGTAATTGAAAACAATCATCACAAAATATCAAAACCATTGCGTAATCAAAGGTGTGTAACTAGTTAGATAGTGAAGAATATGAAAAGAGAGAGGCAGTAAAATTAAGTAACGTTAATGATAACAACAGAAAAAGAGATTCAAAATCGTTTATTAAGTTATATCCGGCCACGGAAGGGACAGGCGGTATATCACGAATTTAATCTGAACATATAAATTAGAGTTGAACGGACGAATTGCTATAGCTTCTGCTATGTGTGTAGGAGATGGGATCGATAGACCGATAGATAGATAGATAGATACAACGCAGAACTTCGTACGTAAGTACATCAGTTCAGGTTGCCATACCAAATCAGCACAGAGACCCAACTGTCAGTTCAAATCCAAGAGCGATAGAAATAATAGAAGTATTAGCAGGAATGGAGAAGATTAGGGAGCAAAGAGATGATTCGAGAAGTATAATTCAGTGAGATAAATTCAGAAGGAGAAAGGTAGAGATTATGATGAATGCAGAAGCTTAGAATTTCATAGAACACAGAGAGTGGATGCACCTGCGCCATTACAAACGATTCTGACCCATGTCATTCAACGTCTCTAACCACTTGTGACTTTCGTCTCGCGGACCCCAACCAGGTAGCCTACATTTACCAACATGACTCAGTCCACTTGTCAGTGACTTCACGGATTTGTGCCATGTTTTTGTTTCGCTGCCCCTAGCTTTCTTCCAACCTATTCGTACACCACAAAACATAGCTCGTCGAGGCAGTCGGTGGTTAGGCATACGCAGCACATGTCCCGACCACCTCAACTGATGAAGTTTCATTACTTCATCTATTGATTTGCCGTCCCTACCTAGTAATCGTTTCTTAACGACAGCATTGATTATACTGTTGTCCCAGGATATACGAGTAATGCTTAGGAGACATCGATGATCGAAGATTAGTAACCTAAGAAAGTCCTCTACTCCTAATGGCCATATTTCGCCTCCGTACAGTAGGACGGAGCGAACTGCTGCATAGTACTCTCGTCCCTTTGGTTAGCAAACGGATATCTCGCCTGTGCCATAGGTGACGCAAGTTGACAAAAGATAATCGAGCCTTCTGTATCCGTGCTGAGATTTCGTTAGTCACCAGCTATCAGCACTGATGAGACTCTCCAGATAATTTATGTGGTCTACACGCTCGACTGTTTATCTGTGAAATAATGGATCACTAGAAACAATTCAATTTCATCCACAATATGACCACTATCAATCAAATGTATCCTAAGATACAACTGCGTATAGTTTTTTTTATCTAACCCTTTCATAGAACCACACTAGGAGACACATATATATATATATATATATAAATATTCACGCATACTGAAGTGAAACCAGATGACTGACTACCTCATTCAAAACAACAATACTTACTATTCATTTATAAATCTGTTTACTTCTTCTGACTGATCATAAACAAAGTTTCACCTAATTACCATTAGATCAATCCAACGGTATTTTGACTTCATTTTTCTCTCTGTTAAAATTATCATTTTTTAAAAAAAAAACAAAGAAAAAACTATTTTAATGACGTGTTCATATTGATTTATTAAATATTTAAAAATAATCATCGTCACCATCATCATCATCATAAATCACACACACTACAGAAGAAGTCAGAAGTGAATGTCATCTCCGGTAGGTATATACTACACTACATACGCCGCTATCTGTGCCTTACTATTGTTTTGTCTTATTTTTTTGGTGGGGTCACATATCTATTTACAAAATCAGCTAAGTATGGTGTGTGTGTGTCAGTGTGTCAGGCTAATAATGTATATGAGGTGATGCCTTTTAGAAATATGCATCTAAAAATTGACACTAGTCAGACAGCAGCTCTGTTGCTCTCATTCTTCAACTTATCTTTGGTGTGTATCGTTGTGTTTGTGTCGGTGTGTGAAAATGGTGCTTTGCATTATATTTTCACGTTTTGTTTTTGCACAGAAAATTGCTAAAACTTATTTTGGGGCACAGTTTTGGAGGTTTGCGTTTTTACACATTTGAATTCATCAATCAATCATTGTCCGATGGTAAGGCGTTCGCCTAGAATGCCAAGGATCCCGGGTTCGAATCCTGCGAGGAGCAGGAGTCGTGGATGCGCACTGCTGATGAGTCCCATACCTGGACGAAACGGCGGTCCAGTGCTTCCAGATTTCTAATGGTGTTGGTCTAACAATGATTGAATGATGATTTCAAATGTGCTAAAACGTATGTTTTCATGATAAGAGAGAGATAACGTCACTACTTATTTCGCATTCTCAGTAGTTTTTTTCCCATTGACTAACAACTGCAACACGCAAACAAGCGTGTAGTTTAAACAGTGTTCAATGTGTTCAATGAAATCATCAAATTAAAAGAACATTGTGTTATGCTTGTCAGTTGATATGCTTGAAACTACTATGACGCGTTTACCTTAGTCGATAAACGAGAACGAGGCAGTGAACCAACGTCCAGTTCGGTTACTCTGATCCGTTGCCCCAACTAGCTGAAGAGAAAAGTTGAAAGTGTAGCGTAGAAAGTGTATTCTACAAACACACCCAGCCAGCACACAATGATCTCTAGCACACAAATCATGTTTATTTATACAATGAGAGAAATTTCCTTGGGAGAGTCACAATAATAGCACACTAAAATAACACATCAACCAATCATAGCCAAGGATTTCGCAGGTGAGAAATGCAATCTCTCAAGGTCAACTGATCAGCCCTTGAATAAAATCCAAAAATTTGTCAATTCAAATCCAACAGTAGTACAGTTAGTAAAGGTATTAGAAGTAATCGAAGAGGTTAGGATTAGAAGATATTATTCAAGAAGTATGATTCAGTGAGATAAGTTTAGGAAGACAAAACTAGAGGTGTTGAAGAATACAGAAGATTAGGATTTGAGAGAATACAAAGAATGAATGCACCGGCGCCATTGCAAACGGTTTTCAGCCACGTCATTCAAGGTCTCTAACCATTATCGATTATTATCTTCTCGCGGACTCCAACCAGGAGGTAGTCGACATCTACCGTCATAACTTAGTCTACAACAATTTGAACCTATTTGTTGACAATTGAGATTAGCATCAAAACAGTTAAGATTATTACATGTCTCAACTTTCCATTAGGTACGTGACAGTTTTATAATACGAAAGATTTCTGTTTCCTCACATACATACGTTTCCGAGGACTTATTTAGAAAATCTAATCTTAATCGTTTCAAATTACTACAGATTGTATAGGAACTTCGCCTAGAGCCCTTCTAGGGTGTTAGGGCCATTCCCAAGTCCGAATACAGAAGGAGGGTTGGGCATGAGGTTAACCACCTCATTCTTTAGAAATTCAAATCGCTAACCAGAAAAATAATTCGCTGTTCCGATGGCCTATGCCCTATTAGGGGTAACAGGCGTAGGTAAGTAAGTAAGTAAGGTAACATCGGACATGTATTGCCCTTATATTGGAATATGATAAGGAGTAACCATCAGTTAACCAATATCATCGCGAAGCTACATCTAATTTTTCTCATATCGTTTTCCATTGGGTTTGTTTCATTTATCTAAATTTTTTCTCTCTATATACATGAGACTACACTGTATTTTACGCTTTTATTTAAAATAATATGCAATTCAGAATAATAAAAAGTTTTTTCAAATAAAAACCAAAAATAATTGTTTTGGTGAAATTGATTTTACACATACATCTTACTGACCTACTAACTCATTCACTCACTCACCTACTAACACTTATATTCTTGGTTAAGCGGCATGCCTGCTGCGCACGCACGCCGCTGCATGTTAAGCAGCACAAGGATTCTCACAGGAGCCAATATTGCGATCACCTTTACCCCATACGGGAATGTACATGTTGTCTCGATTGGTGTGCATACAAGTGGACGTCCAAAAAACACGCACACGAGCAGTGGTCCCCGTTTGGGCACTTATAAATCAACAAGATCCCTTCAACTAATCCACTACTCATAATCCCCAATCGGCAAGGCGAGCTTTCCCAGCCAGACCTGGTGCCCTGAACGGATTACCGAGCCACATAGCAGTGCATTAACCAGTAGCCGTTTCAACCGTCTGGCCTCCAACTGCTTTGCGCTGATACAATCGACAGGAGCCCTCAAAACACCACATAAAGCTAAAGAACTATAAAGAGCCGGTTAGCATTCTCCACTCTACTCCGTCCTTCGTCTTCTTTTTCAGATCAACCTGATTGATATTCATTCTTTTCGTGTCTACTTCCAATTGTCAGCGTGTTGTGTTCTTTGATCATCCTCTTTCCCTTTCGGTCTCTTAATCTGCATAACTGTAATCGCATTACCGGGTTGTGAAGATTGTTAAGTTACACATTTTGAAACCAAGTTAGACATTAACACCATCATACAACGGTTCAATGGTCCAGAGGTTAGTCGTTCTCGCGCAAGACCGGAGGTCCTGTGTTCGAATCCCGCGTGGTCCAGGAGTCGTAGGTGATGAGGAGTCCCGTACCAGCACGACACTGATGTCCAGTGCTTCCAGGTTTCTAATGGTGGTCTAACACTGATCGATTCATGGTTTCAAAATGTATAACTCTAATTATCTTTACTTAGTCAACCAAGTGAATTTGTGCATATTTGCACAAAAGTTATTGATTTATCTCTTCACATCATTAGATACGCGAAAGATGTAGACCACATTCAATGTACAATTAAAATTCAATGCAACTCGTATTTTATCTTCATAGTTCTCCGATTTACATAGAAAATACATTTTTGTTTTAAATAGTTTGTCATATACGTATATACATATTTCTCTTTTTTTGATTTGAAAATGCTATCAGCTGACATTCGAAATCATTGAAAAAAAGACGTT